TGGAGTGAAGTAACGTATACTTACGAAACGTATACTTATTATTTTAATTACATATCAATCATACGTTAAGTAGGACAACTATATCATTCACTTGTATGTTTGAACATGCAAAACAACGTTTTTGAAATTTAAATTTTAATAAAGTTAACCTGTTATTTAAAATATAACTAAAATTTATTACAAAATAAATTATTAAAACCATTTACATAATGACCTCTAAATACATATTTTTTGCAAGTAACCTTCACTTAATTTAAAATTAAATATAAAATAAAATAAATTAATTTGAAAAATCTACTTAAATCAATATGACCTTGCCAACAGTTTTACAATTTTATTTTTTAATTAATTCCTTTGCTTTTGTTTAAATTTTTAATTATTACATTTTTTTCTTTGATTTCCATTTAATCTCATCGCATATTTCTTAAGTAATCATATTACTCGTTACATCAATTCCTTTCAATTTTATTTAATCCGGCTTTCTACAACTCTCCCTTCTTTTTGTTCTTGTCTGTTTATTATACAAATACTTACACGAGGATTTTTTAATTATATAATAGTTTAATATTTACAATAATCAATTTACATAGTGGTTTTATTAATAAATTTACAACAGTTGATAAAGGGTATATGTTTGTGTGTAGTTTATTGTTGTTTTTATGGTTTTAGTTTATGTTTAATTAAAATTCATAATTTCAGTCGTGTGTTATATAAATAATTTTTGGGGATTATCTTTCTGTTCGTTATTGTTGCCATTAAGGGGGAAATTTGGGCAGACATTATACTTTTAGAGGAGGCTTTTGCTAATATTAGGCCTTTTAGTTATAACTGTTTTACGTAAGGTCTTTACATGGAGGCCTTTTAGGGCAGCTAGAGTCAATTATACTTTGAAACTTGCAAAATTTGTTCAAGAAACTTGTTTTATATAGAAACTGTTTATTTCCAATTTCTTGAACATACTGCTGGTGGTTCATCCTGGTCATGTTACCTAGATGATATTATTGTAATCCTCTTGTGATTTTAAGTTTAAACTGCTTGATTTATTCATAATGTCACTTGCTGTCACCGGGAAATTTTTCCAACAATTTGCTCTAATTTTTCATTAATTTCTGTGGTACTTTTAAAAAGTATTTTTAATAAATTGTTTAAAATATAAATTTTTTTATTAAAAAAATTTGTTAAATATTATATATTTATAATTGATTTTTATTAATTGCTCTTTGGTTAAAACAATAAAAAAACTAACAATTTGTTTCTCTTTGTTTTTTTGGAATGTATTGTTGCAATTTGTTCTTGTTGTTGCAATTTTATTAATTTTCAATAAAAAAAAATTGTTTTTATTGGCTTAACATTGCTTTTAATTTCAGATTGTTTCTTTCTTGTTTTTTTTAAAAAAAAATCTGTTATTGTTTTTATTCCAGTGTGTGCGGCAGGAGCAGCAGCAGCAGTAAACAAATAAAAAAATATTGAATTCATATAAATTAAATTTTCTTTCAATATGACATGTGTTGACATTTTATACATTTACGTTGTTCAATCGTTAGCAGTTTTTCATTTACAAAAACAAGACACTGAAAACAATTTTTAAAATTTTCTGAATGTTTTTTCAGAATTTTTAAAATTTTTGAAATTTTTAAAATTTTCAGAATTTTCAGAACTGTTTAAAATTTTAAGAACTTTTAAAATTTTCAGAATTTTTAAAATTTTCAGAATTTTTAAAATTTTCTGGAATGTTTAAAATTTTAAGAACTTTTAAAATTTTTATAATTTTTAAAATATTCAGAATTTTTAAAATTTTTTAAGTTTCCAGAATTTTAAAAATTTTTCGAATTTTTAAAATTATCAGAATAATTAAAGTTTTCAGAATTTTTAATATTTTCAAGAATTTCAGAATTTTAAAAATTTCAGAATTTTTTAAATTATCAAATATTTCAGAATATTTAAAATTTTCAGAATTTTTTGAATTTTTAAAATTTTTAGAATTTTTAAAATTTTTAGAATTTTGAAAAATTTTAGAATTTTTTAAATTTTAGAATTTTTGAAATTTTATTTTTTTTAATTTCAGAATTTTTAAAATTATCTGAATTTTAAAAATTTTCAAAAATTTGCCATGTACCGTCGAAATTAGATTCAACTATCATAAAAGCGATGTTACGCCAGATATTGCGTCCCTCAGGAACTATGAGTGGAAAATTCTAAGGAACTACGTACCGGAATCAAAGTTTTGTACCTTCAACCGTACTAGAACCATGATAGAAGACTATATAAAGTATTCCCCATCAATATTTTCCGTTTAAAGGAGCGCATGTTTTTCCAGATATTGATTCCATCAGGAACTCTGAGTCAAAAATTCTAAGAAAGTATGTACAGGAATCAGAGTTTTGAACTATAATATAATACTATAATAGAGGACTATACAAGGTATTCCCCATCAATATTTTCCCTTTAAATAAGCACACAGAGGCCCTATTGCCATTAGGCCTTCTGATTGAATGTAGTATATATCATCCCTTTAACCTAACGTATGATTTCGTCTATATATGTATATATAAGTTATGAGCCTGCACTTACAGCCGAACGGCTCCTACTTTTAGGCGAATTGACCAAAAGTTTTTATAAAGCAAGTCATTAAACATGATGATGTTCCATCACATACCAGAAATAGAAGATATCGGTATCTTTACGGTACTGATCCCAGAGAGAATTTCATAGTCAAATATTAGAAGAATTTTTAAATGAAATCCATTGCCAAATGGGTTTAATTGAGAGTTAAATTTAAAAGTCTGAAACTGAAATATATCTCCATCTACCTAATCACAACATTAACATATAGGTCGAGAGGACCGTAAAACTCAAATAGAAGTTATGGTACTGATCCCAGATAGAATAATATAGTCAACTGGAATGCTCCTACTTTTAGGATTGAAATTGACCAAAAGTGGTTATAAAGCAAGTCATTAAACATGATCGTGTCCAATTACGTACCAGAAATAGAAGATATCGGAAACTTTGCGGCATTGATCTCAGATAGAATTTCATAGTCAACTGTATTATTGGAGGAACTTTCCATTGGAATAAGTTGCCAAGGAGATGGGTCTAAACTGGGTGTCAAAGCTAGTAGTTAAATTGAAAAGTCAGAAACTGAAATATATCTCCATCTACTTAATAACAACACTAACATATAGGTGGAGAGGACAGTGAAACTCAAATAGAAGTTATCGGAACCTCTATAGTACCGATCCCAGATAGAATTTCAATGTAATTACATACCAGAAATAGAAGATATCGGAATCTGATCTCAGATAGAATTTCATAGACAACTGGAATATTAAAGAAATTTTACATTAGAATCCGTTGCCAAAGTCAAAACTGATAGTTAAATTGAAAAGTCAGAAACTGAGATATAGCACTGTCTACCTAATCACAATACTAACATACAGGCCGACATACTGTGCAACTCAAATAGAAGTTAACAGAATCCTTACGGTACTGAACTCAGATAGAATTTTATAGTCAGCTGGAATATTAGAGCAGGAATCATCAAAAAGGATGGGGGGTATATTGATTTTGTCATTCCGTTTGTAACACATCGAAATATTGGTCATAGACCCACAAAAGTATATATATTCTGGGTCCTCATTAAATTCTAAGATGATCTAGCCTCGTCCGTCTGTCCGTCCGTCCGTCTGTATGTCTGTCTGTTGAAAGCACGATAGAGCCCGAATGGAAAGAGCTAGAGGTTTGAAATTTCACATAAATATTTCTTATAGGTAAGGTTTGTTTGGCATTGAAAATGGGCAATATCGGTCCACGTTTTCGGATAGCCTCCATACAAGTGTCCCCTCGAAAAGCAGCTTTAACAGCCATAACTTGTTTAAAAATACGAATATAGCGATGAAATTCTCTATATGGGGGACCCCCATATAAGGTCCCCTTCAGAAAATGACTTTAAAGCTCATTACTGGCTTAAAAATACTAGTATATCTATTAGGGTGATCGATTATTCGACATTTTCCAAAAACCGGTTTTCGAATAGTTCGAATAGTTGACATTTCAAAAAAACCGGTTGATATTTTTCAAATTCAGAAAAAACCGGTTAACCGGTTTTTCATAATAAATAAAAAATATATGTTAATTTGAAGAAATTAATGTTTATGTTTAAATTTGATTAATAAAACATGGCCCGAAATGATTTTTAACAGTTTAACAGATTATAACTTTAGATCTAGTCGTTTGATTTACATTATTTCTTTAATAAAGTGGACACTTCTGTTAAATATAAGGTACTATGTAATCCTAGCTTATTCTAAAGCCCTTTTAGGAAATTTTCATAGGCATTCCAACACTTCCATAATATTGCAGCGGTAAATTAATTATTGTAATTGGAATATAATCTTAAGATTAATAAAATTTTATTAAACAGTTATCAATTTTACAAATAAATTTTTTTAATTAGTTAGGAAAATCAAAAAAGTTTAACCAATGGTGCTTTAGAAAAATGTATCCTAGTTCCTGGACTCGAATATTTTTAAAATTTAAACGGGCTGTATTATTTACTTCAAAATTTCATTTAAATAATCTTTGAATACAAAGCAAATAAAAGTATTCGAAACCGGTTTTTAAAAAGTGAAAAAACCGGGTTATTCGATATTCGAAAAATCAACATTTAGAAAAAACCGACACTGGTAAAGCAGAAAAAACCGTTTTTAAAACCGGTTGAAAAATCGAGTCGATCACCCTAATATCTATATACTAGTATATAGATGAGGATCGACCCATAATTGACCCTACCCCCCTATATAAGGTCCCCTTCAGAAAACTACTTTAACGCTTATAACTGGCCTAAATATACGAGTATATAGATGAAATTCGACATAAGTAAGTTTCATTCGAGTCAAACGAGGTTTGATGGTGGGTATATAAGATATAACACTCTTACTTGTTTTATTTGAATTAATATTTTGTTAAGTTTTTATTTTATTGCCAATTTTTTTCAGTGTTTCATTGTCGCATTGTTATATTTTTTGTCCTTTTTTGTTGTTGCTTTAAAATTAATCATTATTGATTTATTGTATTGTATTGAGCTTTATAAAAGTACAGGCCACAGAAAAAAACCAAATGCTTTCGATTGCTGTGATTTATGGATAAAACCAGGCAGTAAAAATTTTCAAAGAAAAATTAATTTTTTTAACATTCATCCTGTGATTAAAAGGCAAGGGTTATATTTTAAAAAAACTTGTTATGAAATGTTTTCAATAAAACGCTTAATTTTTACAATTTAAAAATATAATTCTATATATGGAAATAATTGTTCCTAAGAAATAAATTATTACATATTTCGAATTCTGCGAAGTTCCATTTATCATTGACTACAGCTTAAAGATCTTAATGGACCATTACGTAAATAGTTTCTTCGTTTTTGTGCAAATGTTTTAGAATACAAAAGGAATAAAAATTTTTCAAGAAAGTTTTCCCCTTTTTTGTAGAATTCATATTGTAAGTTCTATGGAAAACCATATTGAATAAGTTCTATTGTCTCTTATGATGGAATTTTTAATAAAATTGTTTAATTTTTTATGGAATTTTTTAACTTTACAAGAGAAACACATAAAAAAATAAATTTTTCTTTATAAATTTATTTCTAAGAAATATCAAATATATTCTGTGACGATTTTTTCTTTATGTAACAGCTTGATTACGATTAGAACCGCAGACTACAACAAGGATACATTACTAAAGTAGGTAAAGAAAAAGAAAATGTCATTAAGTGTTTCAAATTTTCAGAATAAAAGATCATTAAGGATGTTTTAGTCCTTTAACGACTGCCGTTCCAATTATGTTCAAGTTGTTCAACCATCTTCCTCTCTATTCATCATCCTTCTTATGCTTGTACTCTTATTACTCTCTACTCTCACTCTTTGTATATATTTTACTCACTTACACTCTAATACTTCTTCTTCTTCTCCTTAATCACTAGATTTCTATTATTTTTTTCCTTTTTACACTTAAACACAACTCTCCTGCTGCGAGTACATTAGGGGCGTACGTACAGTGACTATCTCGCGTGAGTAGGATTTACCCACGGCCGATAGACCTGATATCGAACCGGTGGGACTGGTAACAGCTGCTGTGGCTAAGCCACTGCTATTACTGGACACTAGAATTTGTCCCAATGGCTGAGGAGCGGAGGAATTTGGATGTACTTGATGCAACTGTTGCTGCTGTTGATGTTGCTGGTACGATGGAGGCATGGGCAGAGTGCCATGATGATAAGCCGACGCTGATGCTGTACTACTGCTGCTGCCACTGCAGGTGGGCTGAGCATTAGCCATCATTTGCATCATGGATGTTGAGCTGTGTGGAGGCACATTTTGTGTTTGATGATTGTGGGGCAGGGTGTGATAACCACCGGGATGTGAAGGTAGCGTATACATTTGTACAGTGCCCGGTGACACGGTGGAAGGTGTGCCCTGGGAGGCTGGTGAGGATATACAAGGCGGGAAGGGTGACACAGAACTGGAATTGCTGGCGCTTGTATTTGTGGTCTTGTAATGATCTATTTGAGCATATATCGTGGGCTCCTCAAAGTAATCGTACGAGGGCGGTGGAGCCATGGGTTTATTGCGTTGCAGTGTACTCGTTGCCGGTATATTGGGCAACATTTTGAGTACACTGGAACCATGAGGTAAGGTACCCGCAGTCATACCACTTAAATTGGTATTAATGCCGGCTCCCTGTAATAACATGCTACTGCTACAGTCTACTGATATGGTTTTTTTAGGATTTGTATTACTGGCAACACCGCCACCACCCGTTGGCAAGCTAAGTTCAGCATAATGTAATTCCTCATCCTGAAATGAAAGTAAAAAAACAGCAAAAAGAAAAATAATTATTATAAATTAAAAAATTCATTAGTATTTTTTTAAGTTTTAATAATATTAAAATTTACACCTTGTTGGTTGTTACAACAAAGACTTATCAAATAATAAAAAAGTATTACACGTTGTTTGTGTTGCCAACTTGGCCAAGGGGATGTTAAGCAAAATAATTATATTGTAGCAATGTTGGTGATGATGATGATGCTGCTGCTGCTGATAATGACAACACAACCTGCCACAATAGGTTGCTTGTCTATACATATTTGTGTTTATTTTAGTTCAACTTATAGTTGTTGTTTATTTTAAGTATTCCCCAACAAAGTTAAGTCAGCACATTAAGCAAAACAAACTTTAAGCAATTAATGCAAAATAATTCCAAAAAGTTATTAAACATTCAATTTCACTGTAAAACAAAGTAATCAAAACTTTGCTTTTTTCTTGTTGCGACATTTTATATTTACATTAAACAACAACAACAGCATTTCACAACAAAAACAAACAACATTGTCATTTTTGTCAAACTCATCATGAATATCAACATCATTATCACCACCATAGTCGTTCATCTCATCTCGTCAGCCTGTTCATTGTCAGCGCCGTCTTCATCCTCTATTTTTGCACTTTTACAACTAAAAACTTTTGCCTTAATTCATTGTTAAAATTTCAAAAAACATTTTTTTTTTTGGAAAATAGGTTGCGACACCACGGAAACAACTGCCTCTTTAAAAGTGTATGTAACAGATGTATACTTTTTAGGAAGTTTTACTCTATGGTTTTATATTTTGCGAATTTTTTAAAAATCAAAATGTATTTTTGTGAAAATGCATTGAGCACTTTGAGAATTTCGGAAAATTTTTAAGGCGATTAGAGGCAGAAAGAAAATTATATTCATGGACAAATAGTTTATTTACAGCATCTTAAGTAACAGCATCTTAGTAAATGTAAGTGACAATACTCTTTCAATAATAAATAGCGGCCAAAAATACGTTTTTTTATTAGAAAAGCTTAAAAATTCTTCTATTAAAAGAGAGAAGTGTTGAAAAAGCTTTTTTCAGAAAAGCTTAAAAAAGTTTTTTTTATGAGTAAAGTTGAAGAGGTTTTTAATAGAAATGCTAAAAAAGCTTTTTAATCAAATGACTGAAAAGGCTCTTTAGTAGATAAGCTACAAAAGATTGAGTAAAGTTGAAGAAGATTTTTTATTAGAAAATTTTAATTAGAAAAGTTTTTTAGCTTTTCTCTTTAATAAAAAGACTGAAAGGCTTTTTCTTAGAAAAGCTTTTAATAAGCAAAAGTTTCAAAAGCTTTTTATAAAAAAGTTTGTAAGAAATCTTTTTGTATTTTTTTATTAAAAAGGAGAGAAATATTGAAAAAGGTAAATGATTTAATTAGAAAAGATAAAACAGCTTCTTAATAGATTAATTAAAAGAGCTTTTTAATAAAAGACTGAAAAGGCTTCTATGAGTAAAGTTGAAGAAGAGTTTTATTAGAACAGCTAAATGTTTTAATTAGAATAGTTTTAGAAAAGCTAAATGTTTTAATTAGAAAAGTTTTTTAGCGTTTCTCTTTAATAAATGATGAGAAATCTTTTTGTATTTTTACTAAAATGGAAACAACTTTTCAAAAAGCTTAATGTTTTAATTAGAAAAGCTAAAAAAGCTTTTTATTAGATAAGCTAAAAGAGCTTTTTAATAAAAAGACTGAAAATACTTTATTAGTTATTAGAAGCTTTTTCATAAAAAGCTTTTTAGAAAACTTAATAAACTTTTTATTTTTTTTAATGTTTTTAATTTTTTTTTAGAGTTAAAAACATTAAAAAAAGTAAAAAGTTTATTAAGTTTTCTAAAAAGCTTTTTATGAAAAAAGTTTTTTTCTAGAAATGTTTTCATAAAAGTTTTCAACTGCTAGTTTTACAACTGCCTCTTATTGGAAAAGCTTTGCCAGATAAGTTAAAATATAAAACTTTATTATAATAGAAAAGCTGGAAAAGCTTTTTTAATGAAAAAAGTTTAAAAAGCCTCTTATAAAAAGTTTGTGAAAAATCATTTTGTATTTTTATTAAAAAGGAGAGAAATATTGAAATAGCTAAATGTTTTAATTAGAAAAGATAAAAAGCTTTTTATTAAATAAGTTAAAAGAGCTTTTTTAATAAAACGACTGAAAATGATTTATTAGTTATTAGAAATGTTTGTAAAGATCTCCTTTAACAAAACTTGACTACGTTTTTTAAAAAGCTTTTTATGAAAAAAGCTTTTTTCTAGAAATGTTTTCATAAAAGTTAGTTAGTTTTACAATTATTGGAAAAGCTTTGCCAGAGAAGTTAAAATAACAAATACTGTATTAAAAAAAGCTTTAGTATACAACTTTAATAAGCAGCACAAATAAAAACATATTTTATTAAAAAAGTTAAATAAAAATCATCAAATGAAAACTTTATTTTATGTTTTAAATAAAAGCTTAACAGTTTCAAAGAAAAGCTTTGTGTTTACAATATACGTGTTTAACCAACTTTTTTGAGAAAATATGGAAAATTCATATTTGTGTTAAAAAGCTTCTCAATTCGACAAGCTTTTTATGAAAATTGACAACAAATCAACAACCATTTTAATATTTGACATCAAATATTTTATCAAAATGATGTACCTACAGATATTTTTGTAACAAGCACAGTATCTTCAAAGAAAATAATTGAAAAATATTCTATATACTATATTTTTTTTTTTTTGGTTTAAAAGAAAAACATTTTCACTATCTTTATAAACATTGCTAATGAACTAACTGACAGACTTACCTTACTGCTTTGGTATAAAACACGTTCATCGTTTGTCGGTTTACAGCTGATTTCCGCTTCACTGGTAGTCGATAAATGACCGGATGGTGTTTGTGTTGCTGATTTTTGTTTGTATTCACCATCAACTGGACACAGATGAATACACACACACACACACATACAGACAGATAGATACATACATATAAAATTTATTTGTTTGTTGGATCATTAAAAACGTTGGCAATTAGACAGTTGTTTTGGCATGGAAAGTAAAGAGAAGTAAAGATAAAGAAATATAAATTAAAATTTAGCACAATTATTGATGAGATTGTCTTAGGGCAAATAAAATATTTTTTCGTTGAATCTTTTTGTTTTAGTTTAGAGCGAAATTCTTTGAAACAATCTAGACAGGTCTTTGTTTAAAGATAATTAAGTATGAAATATTTGTTGAAAAATTTTCGGAAATTTGAAGTATTTATAATTGTTTGTTTATATGTGCAATAATTTTCAGTGGAAATGTCTTATGATGGTAACAAATAATGAACAAATATTAAACTAATTAGCTTGTTAAGAGATAAATCATTAATTTTCTTAATTTCTGTTATATTTTACTTTTCGTAAAATGTTAAATTTAGCAATTGTTTTTGCAAAACTTTAATAAAACTAATGTTTGCTCTGGTTGTTGTTTACATTTAGTTACACTATTAGTTTTCCTTTTGGCCCTGCTGCTCCTCTAACTTGTGCCTGCACTTTAATTCATTTCTCAATTTAAACCAATTAATCTAAGTCTTTGGCTGTTGTCATTGCTGCTGTTGGTGTTACAGGCTTTAATTGAGTTTGCTTGTATGTTTTTGGTACTGCAATGCAATTGCTTGTTATCTTTAATTTCCCCAAATACCACATTAATTCCCACATGTTTATGCAAGATTTGTGCAAATATACCCTAAATTCATTCCTATTTAAAATTTCTTTTTAGGTTTTTATTTCTGTTTTGTTCTGCCTGTGTCTCCTTTTGCAAATAAAACACCATATTCATTACAAAGACTTAAAGGGCTATACGTGTATTTGTATGAAAGTACATGTGTATGTGTAGAACAATACACATATACATTAAAGGTATTTGAGTGAATAATGTAGAATGTTTATTTTGGAACACTCTTGGAATTACATCGTGGCGGGGTTGAAAAATATATTTAAATTTATCTAAACTTTTGGTAAAATATAAAATCTATTTTTTTTCCAAATACAAATCCTTTAGTTCAGTTCTAGAACTGAACTAGAACTGAACTAGAACTGAACTAGAACTGAACTAGAACTGAACTAGAACTGAACTAGAACTGAACTAGAACTGAACTAGAACTGAACTAGAACTGAACTAGAACTGAACTAGAACTGAACTAGAACTGAACTAGAACTGAACTAGAACTGAACTAGAACTGAACTAGAACTGAACTAGAACTGAACTAGAACTGAACTAGAACTGAACTAGAACTGAACTAGAACTGAACTAGAACTGAACTAGAACTGAACTAGAACTGAACTAGAACTGAACTAGAACTGAACTAGAACTGAACTAGAACTGAACTAGAACTGAACTAGAACTGAACTAGAACTGAACTAGAACTGAAAGAACTGAACTGAACTGAACTAGAACTGAACTAGAACTGAACTAGAACTGAACTAGAACTGAACTAGAACTGAACTAGAACTGAACTAGAACTGAACTAGAACTGAACTAGAACTGAACTAGAACTGAACTAGAACTGAACTAGAACTGAACTAGAACTGAACTACTAGAACTGAACTAGAACTGAACTAGAACTGAACTAGAACTGAACTAGAACTGAACTAGAACTGAACTAGAACTGAACTAGAACTGAACTAGAACTGAACTAGAACTGAACTAGAACTGAACTAGAACTGAACTAGAACTGAACTAGAACTGAACTAGAACTGAACTAGAACTGAACTAGAACTGAACTAGAACTGAACTAGAACTGAACTAGAACTGAACTAGAACTGAACTAGAACTGAACTAGAACTGAACTAGAACTGAACTAGAACTGAACTAGAACTAGAACTGACTAGAACTGAACTAGAACTGAACTAGAACTGAACTAGAACTGAACTAGAACTGAACTAGAACTGAACTAGAACTGAACTAGAACTGAACTAGAACTGAACTAGAACTGAACTAGAACTGAACTAGAACTGAACTAGAACTGAACTAGAACTGAACTAGAACTGACTAGAACTGAACTAGAACTGACTAGAACTGAACTACTGAACTAGAACTGAACTAGAACTGAACTAGAACTGAACTAGAACTGAACTAGAACTGAACTAGAACTGAACTAGAACTGAACTAGAACTGAACTAGAACTGAACTAGACTGAACTAGAACTGAACTAGAACTGAACTAGAACTGAACTAGAACTGAACTAGAACTGAACTAGAACTGAACTAGAACTGAACTAGAACTGAACTAGAACTGAACTAGAACTGAACTAGAACTGAACTAGAACTGAACTAGAACTGAACTAGAACTGAACTAGAATTGAACTAGAATTGAACTAGAACTGAACTAGAACTGAACTAGAACTGAACTAGAACTGAACTAGAACTGAACTAGAACTGAACTAGAACTGAACTAGAACTGAACTAGAACTGAACTAGAACTGAACTAGAACTGAACTAGAACTGAACTAGAACTGAACTAGAACTGAACTAGAACTGAACTAGAACTGAACTAGAACTGAACTAGAACTGAACTAGAACTGAACTAGAACTGAACTAGAACTGAACTAGAACTGAACTAGAACTGAACTAGAACTGAACTAGAACTGAACTAGAACTGAACTAGAACTGAACTAGAACTGAACTAGAACTGAACTAGAACTGAACTAGAACTGAACTAGAACTGAACTAGAACTGAACTAGAACTGAACTAGAACTGAACTAGAACTGAACTAGAACTGAACTAGAAACTAGAACTGAACTAGAACTGAACTAGAACTGAACTAGAACTGAACTAGAACTGAACTAGAACTGAACTGAACTAGAACTGAACTAGAACTGAACTAGAACTGAACTAGAACTGAGACTAGAACTTAACTAGAACTGAACTAGAACTGAACTAGAACTGAACTAGAACTGAACTAGAACTGAACTAGAACTGAACTAGAACTGAACTAGAACTGACTAGAACTGACTAGAACTGAACTAGAACTGAACTAGAACTGAACTAGAACTGAACTAGAACTGAACTAGAACTGAACTAGACTGAACTAGAACTGAACTAGAAACTGAACTAGAACTGAACTATAAACTGAACTAGAACTTGAACTAGAACTGAACTAGAACTGAACTAGAACTGAACTGAACTAGAATTGAACTAGAACTGCACTAGAGTTGAACTAGAACTGATTAACCGACGATTTGAGTTAGCGTTTTCTGTTGCAAATAATTTTCACTAGAAGTGTTTGAAAATAAACAATTAGTATAAAATTTTCAAAATCTTAACAATATACCCACTTTAACATGCATAGTTTGTCTACTAAATGTTAAAATATGTCACTTTAAGTTGGGATGCCTGCATATTTGCATAACCTCAGGTATAAATGAAATAGAGAAATTGAGAGACACAAAGCAAACGAAAATAAAACACAAACACATTTCCTGTAAATCTTTCAAATACATATAGCAAAAAGCATTTCTACAAATAACACCATGCCAGCAATTTAACAGCAGCATCAACAGAAAATCTACATTTCTTCGGCAAAGCATCTCTAACTAATTCAGTATATATGTACATATTTATATATACATACGACAGAGGAATAAAAGGTGACAGAAAAGTAAGGCGAACAGGAAGAGTGTAGGTGATTGTGGCAAAGCAAAAAAGGAAAAGATGAAAGTAGAACAGGATTTGCTAAGGGTTAAAGTAATATTTGTCAAATAAATTCGACAGTGCAGTGTAACTAGTTAACAAGAAAATGTACATATAAAAGGATATAAAACAGAAAGTGGAATGAGTTTATAATGTATACATTACCATCTTTGTAGGGTACAACATCTGGATTCTTTTCATCATTTTTCTTTTCATCGTATCTGCTATCCGTATCTGTATGACTTAATGGCAGCGAGCTTTTATCTTTAATTTGCAAATTGTCAGGACGTGAGAATCTTTGATTTTGATGTTGATATTTTTGTTGCTGTTTGTGTGAGCGTAATTTCAATGCCGCAATTGTACCAATACCAATGCAAACTATTGCCACTAATATGCCCACAAATATGCCAACCGAGAGTATCGGTGTCAATTCAATATTTGTCTGTGATCCTTTATACGAAGTCAAAGCCACTAAGGAATAAATATGTAGAGATAAAGATAAGAAATGGAAAAGGTAGAAATAAATAAAAGTTGAGAATATTTTTGCAAAATCAAGATAGACTTTTCAACTAAGAAAAAGAAAATAAAATAATTGAATATTATTTTTGCTTTAAGGCTAAAAGTATGTTTTTCTTATATTGAAGCAGCAATTTTTCTTTGCATTTGCCTAAAAGTATGAAAAATTAAATTTCAGTTTCAATCTTTTCCGTTCAAGTGTTTTAGTGCTTTTAGTAGTCTTAGTGTTTGAGTGTATCTGGTGGTGTATTTCAGAGAGTGAATGGTATTATTATTCCCAACAATTGCATTTTTATGTTAATTATTTGCTATTTAAATGCTTGGCCTATTTTTTCTCTTTAGCTGTTTCGTTTTTCTGTGTGTTTCTCTAGCTTTTTCTTTCACACCCTACGCAAATATACATATAGTATTATGCATTTGTGCCAAATGTTTTATGTCACATAATTATATATTAATTGCTAGAACTAGAACTGAACTAGAACTGAACTAGAACTGAACTAGAACTGAACTAGAACTGAACTAGAACTGAACTAGAACTGAACTAGAACAGAACTAGAACTGAACTAGAACTGAACTAGAACTGAACTAGAACTGAACTAGAACTGAACTAGAACTGAACTAGAACTGAACTAGAACTGAACTAGAACTGAACTAGAACTGAACTAGAACTGAACTAGAACTGAACTAGAAACTGAACTAGAACTGAACTAGAACTGAACTAGAACTGAACTAGAACTGAACTAGAACTGAACTAGAACTGAACTAGAACTGAACTAGAACTGAACTAGAACTGAACTAGAACTGAACTAGAACTGAACTAGAACTGAACTAGAACTGAACTAGAACTGAACTAGAACTGAAACTAGAACTGAACTAGAACTGAACTAGAACTGAACTAGAACTGAACTAGAACTGAACTAGAACTGAACTAGAACTGAACTAGAACTGAACTAGAACTGAACTAGAACTGAACTAGAACTGAACTAGAACTGAACTAGAACTGAACTAGAACTGAACTAGAACTGAACTAGAACTGAACTAGAACTGAACTAGAACTGAACTAGAACTGAACTAAACTGAACTAGAACTGAACTAGAACTGAACTAGAACTGAACTAGAACTGAACTAGAACTGAACTAGAACTGAACTAGAACTGAACTAGAACTGAACTAGAACTGAACTAGAACTGAACTAGAACTGAACTAGAACTGAACTAGAACTGAACTAGAACTGAACTAGAACTGAACTAGAACTGAACTAGAACTGAACTAGAACTGAACTAGAACTGAACTAGAACTGAACTAGAACTGAACTAGAACTGAACTAGAACTGAACTAGAACTGAACTAGAACTGAACTAGAACTGAACTAGAACTGAACTAGAACTCAACTTGAGTTGAACTGATACTGAAATTGAATTGAAATAAAACTGAACATGAAAGTAGCTAGAAATACACTCGTTACCATGTAAATCAAAATGCTTAAAAAAGGGTATCATATGAGCGCCTATGACCAACTATAATTTGTTAAATGTTAATTTTTCGTTTCATTTCTATATGAATTTTTAGGTTGTGTTGATTGCTTTGCCTTAACAGCTTTTAAGCTAAATATATCTTCAGCTTTTTTTTTATTTCTTGTTTTTGTAGCTTGCACAATTAGCTAAAGTGTGTCTAGTCTTCATTATTATCCTTCTATCCCTGCGCTGCTCTAAACTAGATACATACAAATGTACAATTTCTTAATGTCTTAGGGTAAGTGTTATGTGTTTACTTGAGTTTTAGCAAAATTTTGTTTTAGTTTTTTGCATTTTTCTCTATATTTTACAAAATATGCTAATTTGTCTTATTTTGCCTCTTGTGTTGCTTATTTTGATAAATTTTTCTTTATTTAATTTTTTGCTTTAAATTTCTCTATCAACTTTTTGCTGAAACAAATTACAATTTCTTAAATATAATTTAATTTTTGTCATACCCTCTGCAGTAATTAGTAAGAGAAATTAACCCTTAGGAGGTTAAAAAGTTATTAAATTTAAAATTTTTGATAAAAACTTACAAGATTTTTAAATTTTCTTTTTAACTTTAATATTTTCCGAAAAATAATTTTCATAAAATTTATTTCAGCTTAAATCTATTTATTTTCAACTTTCGTAATAAAAGGGTTAAAAAGTCTTTATATTCTCTCGTTTACCATTATATGTTTCCTCCCCCTTTTTGTAAGGTTGAATGCTCGGCTTGTATTTCAATTTAATTTAATTATTTAAAATTTTAACATTATTTCGTATTTACTGGTTGGATATATTTTAACTGACTGTTTGCATTAAAAAAAGTGGAAAATATAACAAAAAAAAAATTCTTAATAAATGGCAGCTAAATAAAGCGCAAAACTCGTAAAATTATTACGAAAGTTAGAAAGAAACATTTAAATTTTCTTTTATGAAAATTATAAAACTTGTTTTGACACGCTATTTAAGGCGAATAAAATGTTTCCGCTTTGTTGTAATTGAAAACAGGAAGTTAAATTAAGTGGAGAGAGACAGAGGTTACTCTAATGTATGAGTGCCAACAGAAGTTTTTAAAAAAATAATACAATATATTCAATTGTCTTTATAATTTCTTTGGAGACGAAATTTTATATACAGAAAACAATTATTTAGAAAGTTAGACATTTTATGTAAAATAAAAAATTTATTTGCTTTATTAAAATGTTATAGAATACTATGCATATGGATTCATTACTATTAACTAGAAATTCTAAATATTTCTAAATTAACTTTCAAACATAATAAAACAAAACATTCAGCATTATATATCATAATGGGAACAAGTAGAAAAAAATGCCAACAAAGAATATTTTATGAATGACAATATCAGTTAATGTTCTAGTTCAGTTCCAGTTCAGTTCTAGTCAGTTCTAGTTCAGTTCTAGTTCAGTTCTAGTCTAGTTCAGTTCTAGTTCAGTTCTAGTTCAGTTCTAGTTCAGTTCTAGTTCAGTTCTAGTTCAGTTCTAGTTCAGTTCTAGTTCAGTTCTAGTTCAGTTCTAGTTCAGTTCTAGTTCAGTTCTAGTTCAGTTCTAGTTCAGTTCTAGTTCAGTTCTAGTTCAGTTCTAGTTCAGTTCTAGTTCAGTTCTAGTTCAGTTCTAGTTCAGTTCTAGTTCAGTTCTAGTTCAGTTCTAGTTCAGTTCTAGTTCAGTTCTAGTTCAGTTCTAGTTCAGTTCTAGTTCAGTTCTAGTTCAGTTCTAGTTCAGTTCTAGTTCAGTTCTCAGTTCTAGTTAGTTCTAGTTCTAGTTCAGTTCTAGTTCAGTTTTCAGTTCTAGTTCAGTTCTAGTTCAGTTCTAGTTCAGTTCTAGTTCAGTTCTAGTTCAGTTCTAGTTCAGTTCTGGTTCAGTAGCAGTTTAGTTTAATGAAATTAGTAAAAATTACATTTTTTATATGTATGTCCCAAGAAACTTCTTAACTTTCATCTATAAAAAGTGAATTTCTTTAAAATTAGTTACCCCGGCACCTACTCCTATGCCTTAGGACTATTTCACAGCTTTAATTTTCCATTTCAATCATCACCAACCAAGATGAATGTCTTTAATAGCAATTTGCTTAGAAAAAAACGCTTAAGGAAAATAATCAAGCAAAAGACCTAGAAAATTTACAAAAATATGTTGACTTGAGAACAATTGAAATGTAAATAAAATATTTTTAACATATTCTAAAATGTTTTTTCTTTTTCTTTAGTTTATATTATTTGGGAAGCTCATGAAATATTCATAATTTTAAATTATATGCAAAAATATAAAGTAAGAGAAATTCGTTTTTCTCAAGAAACTTTTACAGAAATAAAAAAATAAATACATATAAATTTATCTTCTACTATACTCTACACACATTTTGCTTTAAGCCTAAACATATACACTACTTAAAAGTAAGTGTCCCACCATATTATATGCTAAATTTCTTGCTCGGTTTTAGCATGCATGTTGCCACCATCCGCCCCCATTTCCTAAAGGCTATAAAAAAGTTGTTTTAAATAAATTTATTATTTCTTTAAAGTATCATAATAAGAATTCTTGAACAAATTGTTGCTTTTATTATTTACATTTGGCTTTTTAGCAATAAAACAAAATAAAATTTTTACTAAACAAAAATAATAAAGTAAAAACAAAAATTTATTTTTAGTTTAACGAGGAAACATATACCGACCTGTTTGCTTTTCTGCGGCCTTTAAGGTATATCCTTCCAACAATACTGGTTCGCTGCGTCCTCTTAAATTTACCGCATAAACAAAGATTTTGAAAAAACGTCCAGAATCTAAAGCATTAACACTTAAGACAGGATATTTGGAAGATATATTGGCCTGTAAAGTTGCGGTTTGTTGATCAAAGATTTCCAAAAGAAACCACTGACGTAAGCCACCATCAAAACCTAATAAAATAATTTTAATAAATTTATATTATTACATTAACACAAATATTTACATGTTTATTAATTTTATTATAATCACAGATTTTTTCCGATTGTGTGAATTTTGTTAAACAAACAAGTGATTTATAAAATGCTAATCTATTTTATTTATTTAAATAATAGAAATTTTAATTTGTTGTGTTTTTATTGTTATTGACATACATAAATATTTTATTGTTATTTATTTTTGTATTTAAAATCTTTCTAGTTGTTAAAAAACGTTTTTTTTTCATATTTAAATTTGTACATTAAATTGTTTTTATTGTTCACAACAGGAAATGTCGTGGCTTTATCTTTACATGCGTCATGTTGTCATGTCAACAACAAAAGCATCCAACAGATTTTACAACGTATGCGAGTCCTATGACGCTAAAAATTTATGCAAAGTCCAGTTGTTGCGTCAAAGAAGGAAATTGTTCACAAAATTGTTTTTTTTTTAATTTAAATACGGTAATTTATAAAAATTTCGAACAAAAGAGTAGGATTTTGAACACGAGTATTTTCCAAACTATTAATCCGATTTTAGTTCTTAATTAAAGCCTATCACCTTTAGTTCAGTTCTAGTTCAGTTTTAGTTCAGTTCTAGTTCAGTTCTAGTTCAGTTCTAGTTCAGTTCTAGTTCAGTTCTAGTTCAGTTTAGTTCAGTTCTAGTTCAGTTCTAGTTCAGTTCTAGTTCAGTTCTAGTTCAGTTCTAGTTCAGTTCTAGTTCAGTTCTAGTTCAGTTCTAGTTCAGTTCTAGTTCAGTTCTAGTTCAGTTCTAGTTCAGTTCTAGTTCAGTTCTAGTTCAGTTCTAGTTCAGTTTAGTTCAGTTGTTTCAGTTCCAGTTCGTTCAGTTCAGTTCTAGTTCCGTTCTAGTTCAGTTCTAGTTCAGTTCTAGTTCAGTTCTAGTTCAGTTCTAGTTCAGTTCTAGTTCAGTTCTAGTTCAGTTCTAGTTCAGTTCTAGTTCAGTTCTAGTTCAGTTCTAGTTCAGTTCTAGTTCAGTTCTAGTTCAGTTCTAGTTCAGTTCTAGTTCAGTTCTAGTTCAGTTCTAGTTCAGTTCTAGTTAGTTCTAGTTCAGTTCTAGTTCAGTTCTAGTTCAGTTCTAGTTCAGTTCTAGTTCAGTTCTAGTTCAGTTCTAGTTCAGTTCTAGTTCAGTTCTAGTTCAGTTTAGTTCAGTTCTAGTTCAGTTCTAGTTCAGTTCTAGTTCAGTTCTAGTTCAGTTCTAGTTCAGTTCTAGTTCAGTTCAGTTCTAGTTCAGTTCTAGTTCAGTTCTAGTTCAGTTCTAGTTCAGTTCTAGTTCAGTTCTAGTTCAGTTCTAGTTCAGTTCTAGTTCAGTTCTAGTTCAGTTCTAGTTCAGTTCTAGTTCATTCTAGTTCTAGTTCAGTTCTAGTTCTAGTTCAGTTCTAGTTCTAGTTCAGTTCTAGTTCTAGTTCAGTTCTAGTTCAGTTCTAGTTCAGTTCTAGTTCAGTTCTAGTTCAGTTCTAGTTCAGTTCTAGTTCAGTTCTAGTTCAGTTCAGTTCAGTTCTAGTTCAGTTCTAGTTCAGTTGTAGTTCAGTCTTAGTTCAGTTCTAGTTCAGTACTAGTTCAGTTCTAGTTCAGTTCTAGTTCAGTTCTAGTTCAGTTCTTAGTTTAGTTCTAGTTCAGTTCTAGTTCAGTTCTAGTTCAGTTTCTAGTTCAGTTAGTTACTTCTAGTTCAGTTTCTAGTTCAGTTCTAGTTCAGCTCTAGTTCAGTTCTAGTCAGTTCTAGTTCAGTTCTAGTTTCAGTTCTAGTTCAGTTCTAGTTCTAGTTCTAGTTCAGTTCTAGTTCAGTTCTAGTTCAGTTCTAGTTCAGTTCTAGTTCAGTTTCTAGTTCAGTTCTAGTTCAGTTCTAGTTCAGTTCTAGTTCAGTTCTAGTTCAGTTCTAGTTCAGTTCTAGTTCAGTTCTAGTCAGTTCTAGTTCAGTTTTAGTTCAGTTTTTAGTTCAGTTCTAGATCAGTTCTAGTTCAGTTCTAGTTATTTTTCTCAATTTATAGTTTTGTGCTTGTTAGTATTAATTACTTCGAATTAATCACTTGACTTTTTAAATTTTAAACGACAAAATTTGGGACTTTTCCTTTTCGATTTTTAAATTCTTTTTCGTCTCATAAATATTATATTTCATTCCAAATGTATGTATTTGCTTTTATAGGTAGAGGACGGGAAAAATTCTATCACCTTGCGCTCTGTCTGCAATTGTAATCCAAATGACAGAATTTGGGATTTTATTAAATTATTCTATTAAGCCAATATATCTATTTTTGACGTGTCTACCAGGTACCACGTGAAATATTTGATTTTGGTGTATGAAGGTGACTCTTTGTTAAACCAAACAAATGTTAGTAACCAACAGTTTTTAGACAAGAATATAGATAAAAAGTTTAACAAAAGCAAAAAGGGAAAAATTTGAGAGATAGAGAGTAAAGCAAAAAATGTCAATCAACATGTATAGAAGTGGTTTTTATAAGGATATTTTCTACCCATCTATCTTATACACTGTGCAACATTTTGGTGGTTATTACTTTTTGCATTACTTCTTTTATGCGGCAGAGTGTGTGTGCTAGTGCTAGTAACAGCAGAGACAAAAACCTGCGTACATATATTCACAAAAAAGGTCACATATTTATTGTTTTACTTTTTTTTTGCTGGTTGTTTTTTTGTTGTTTTTTTTATCAAACTCTGTTCACAATTTTATGAACTTGAGTTTGTTTATTTGCTTTTTGTATCCCATTATTATATTCATTTTGAGCTATTGTTGTTGAAGTTTTCCCTTTTTTTCTTATTTCATTATTATATTTAATTTTTTTCATTTTGCCTTATTTAAAAAACAACTTACCTTCAATGCAATAGACCTCCAGAGAATCTGATGTTTGATTTACTACCGTACAATTGGATGGCATTTCAGGCTTACCAGCTGCTATTAAATGAAAAACACAAGGTTCCTTTTGTTGTCCAACATTATTATCAGCCCAGCACATAATAGTACCAAAGTCCATTTCCTACAGAAAATAAAAGAAAGAAAACGGAACAATAAACAACACACATATAAACATTGTGATATGAACACAATATAAATGAGGAAAAATATGAAAAAGTCATATTAAATTGGTGTATTTACTGTTTTATTTTAAAAAATATAAATTTTTTTGTACATGCTTCTCAAAAAATTATTCATGTAGAAATTGTTTGTGTAGTAGTATAATAATTATATTATTAAAAGAGTTTATTGTGAAGTTTAGAAAGAAATGGGTTTTATTGAAGCGTTACGTCCCAGCACGTGCTGGATAAAAAAAAATAAGTAAATTTAATAAAGTTAAGCATGTGTGTTGGCACATGATTATAACGAGAGAATCTATAACTTAAGCAAAGTAGTTTCCTCTTTTTTTGTGGTAACAACGCATTGCAAATTTTTTATAATAATAGATAAAATTTTAATTGGTCAGAAATGTTAGTACCACTAACTAAGTAACTACTAACTACTAACTAACTAACTAACTAACTAACTAACTAACTAACTAACTAACTAACTAACTAACTAACTACTAACTAACTAACTAACTAACTAACTAACTAACTAACTAACTAACTACTAACTACTAACTAACTAACTAACTAACTAACTAACTAACTAACTAACTAACTAACTAACTAACTAACTAACTAACTAACTAACTAACTAACTAACTAACTAACTAACTAACTAACTAACTAACTAACTAACTAACTAACTACTAACTAACTAACTAACTAACTAACTAACTAACTAACTAACTAACTAACTACTAACTAACTAACTAACTAACTAACTAACTAACTAACTAACTAACTACTAACTAACTAACTAACTACTAACTAACTAACTAACTAACTAACTAACTAACTAACTAACTAACTAACTAACTAACTAACTAACTAACTAACTAACTAACTAACTAACTAACTAACTAACTAACTAACTAACTAACTAACTAACTAACTAACTAACTAACTAACTAACTAACTAACTAACTAACTAACTAACTAACTAACTAACTAACTAACTAACTAACTACTACTAACTAACTAACTAACTAACTAACTAACTAACTAACTAACTAACTAACTAACTACTAACTAACTAACTACTAACTAACTAACTAACTACTAACTAACTAACTAACTAACTAACTAACTAACTACTAACTAACTAACTACTAACTAACTAACTAACTAACTAACTAACTAACTAACTAACTAACTAACTAACTACTAACTAACTAACTACTACTAACTAACTAACTAACTAACTACTAACTAACTAACTAACTAACTACTAACTAACTAACTAACTAACTAACTAACTAACTAACTAACTAACTAACTAACTAACTAACTAACTAACTAACTAACTAACTAACTAACTAACTAACTAACTAACTAACTAACTACTAACTAACTAACTACTAACTAACTAACTAACTAACTAACTAACTAACTAACTAACTAACTAACTAACTAACTAACTAACTAACTAACTAACTAACTAACTAACTAACTAGTATACCAATTCCACATACCCTTCTGAAAGTGGAAAATAAAGTTGTTGTAAGGAGTTCAGAGTACTCGTTAGGTATTAATGGTACCAGGACCACTTCGTTACTATAAAAACTCTGGAAACGTCGATAGATATTCTTCCAATCGAAGCATGAATTATGGTCTCTGGGAGTATTGAACTGTCAGATCCAATACCGGGGTCACAAACTATCGATAACTGTCACACAGTGCTCCCAGATAGGAGATTGTCGTCAAGCTAATGTCCTGCTTACAGGTACCATGCAAAACCTTCATATATATACTATCTTTCTAACATGTCATGTGTAAAGTGACAGGAAGTAGGTAACTAGTGTGAAATATAAATCAAAGGCCATATTTGGCTGTTATTCCAGATATTACGTCGCATAGGAATACTGATTGAGAAATTCTTAGGAACTAGGATACTGAGCGTCTCTTTATAGCCTTTCATCATTAATTCTACTTAAAATTGTTAATTCCATGCAAAATTTTTATGTTTCTATTCAATAAAAAAAATTCCAATAATTTCGCACAAATTTCCCCAAAGTCATTTGGCTCATTTAATTTTAAATTATAACATTTAATGCACACAATTTGTTCAGGATAGAAAAACTTTTTCGCAAAACAACCAACTACACACACAGTATTTTACGAGTGTTGGCAAAACTTATTGACAGTTGACAATCAATCAATAAGACAATGGATGTCAAACAATGTTTTTAATAAGCTATAAAACACAAAAGTTCTATAGCCAATGTAAAGAAATAGAAACACGACGACACCAATATACAATCTAAAACCACTAAAGTTTTATAGAAAGTTTTTACTTTTACGCTTAACAAAACATAAACTAACATACATATATACCAATACACATTCATTATATGAAATCACCATCATCATCATGTTGGTTGTCAGGAAGTTCCTGTGTAATATTTGTTCACTCTCACTCTCTCTATCTTTGTCTATATTTCTGATTTGGCTATAAATGACATCAGTGTAAATAGATATTGATTGTTTTATTTCAATGCCAGTGTGTGTGTGTGTGTGTGAGTATAAATATGGGTGGTTAAGATAGTTCCACGTTTTATAACAACACATACCGTACACGTACAATTTTCAAAAATATTTGGTTTCGTTCTTTCTGCCATTGTGATGATGATGAATTGTAATGCTAATTAAATAAGGTTTTTCGTGTGAAAATGATTGTTAAATAATTTCTACCATATGTTGCACACATTTATACAGTACAGATGTGCTGCGCGTGTGGTATGAGGGTATTTAATGAAATTTTTTTTTTTTTTTGGCTCATTATTTAGTATATATTTTCAATATCTATTATAGTTTTTAAAGCAAAATTAGTAATAATAGATAGAAGATTTTTGTGAATTAATTATATATGAGAAGCTTTTTGAAAAGCTTTTTAACAAATTCTATATTCTATATTGATATTTATTTTTTTAAGTTTAAAACTTTTTCTTATTTAATTTATTCCTGTTATGCAAATCTCTCCTCATATCTTTATTAATACATTTTTAATGTTAATTTAATTCCTGCTACATAAAAGCTACAACAACAAGAAAAAACATGTAAACAATTTAATTATTAAAAAAGAACATTTAAATCAACTTTATTTAAACTCATCAATTTTTAACTAAATAAATAAAAGAAAACTTCTACAAGCTCTTGAGTAGAAAATATATGTATATTTAATGTTGGCTAATTTATACAGGATGTGCAAAAGTCAACAAAGGATTTAAATCTCACATTTTCTTTAACATCACCATTGGAGTTCTCTGCAAAACTTTTAGTTGATTTTATTTTTTTGAAATCAAGTTGAGAGTCATCAAATGAGTTACATTTAACATTTTTAACTAAAAGGAAGAACGTGAATAGGAGTGGGTAGTAGTAGAAGAGAAAAATAGAGATTAAGCAGCGAAACAAATAAAGTGTTTCTTTAAAGATGAAAATGTATAAACACATACAACAGGCTTCTAAAAAAAAAACTTTAATGAGAGATAACAGTGTAAGGAAAAACAGAAAGCTGTAATTTAAAATTTAAACCATTTTGAAGCAAACGTTTTTAAAGAAAAGACTTAGATTTTTAGCTTAAAGCTAATTTTTATATGAGAAAAATTATGTATTTTTGTAAGACATTATTTAAATATTTTTCAATAATATATTGAAGAGGTTTTTATTTAAAAGCTCTTTTTAGAAAACATTTTTGTAGAAAAGCTCTTTTTGGAACAAAATTTTTAACAATAAACAGCTTTAGAAAATATTTTTCAAAAAAAGCTTTTTTGAAAGCTTTTCTAAAATGGTTTTTATAAAACAACATTTTTAATTAAAATGCTCTTTATTAGAAATATGTTAAATAAAATAATTAAATTAAGCTCTTTTGTGATTTTTTTAAGATTTTATACAAAAGCTTTTATAAGACAAAATTTTATACGTAGTTGTATTTACAAAACTTTTGTTAAAATTTTCTTTTACTAATATTTTATAAATGTAAAATTTTATTTTAATTTTTTTTTTGTTAAAGCTTTTATAAGACAAACTTTTATATATAATTTTGTTAAAAAAAACTTTTTGTAAGAAAAGCTTTTTAAGGAAAAAGCTTTTTAAGTAAAGAGCTTTTATAAGAAGCCTTTTATTGGAAAATAAAGTTGAAAAAGCTTTTTTTCGAAAAGGCATATAATTTTTTTTAAATTTTATGTAAAAGCTTTTATAAGATAACATTTTATATATAATTTTATTAAAAATAAACTTTAAAAAAATCTCTATATTAATTTAAGATATAATAGCAAGAGCTTTTTGCTATTTATTGGAAAATAAAATTATTAAAAGCGCTTTTTAGAAAAGGTTTTTTGTGAAAAAATACTTTTAAATTCTTATGGAAAATCTTTTTTATGACAAAATTTTATAAAAAATTGTGTTAAAAAGAACTTTTTGTAGGAAACGCTTTTTATGGAAAGAGCTTTTATAAGAAGCTTTTTATTGGAAAATAAAGTTAAAGAAGCTTTTTTACAAAAAGTATTTAATTAAACTCAATTGTATTAAAACAACTTTTTTTTAAAGGAAAAGCTCTTTTTAGAAATTTTTATGGAAAGGGCTTTTATAAGCGGCGTTTTATTGGAAAATAAAATTATAAAAAAGCTTTTTTTAGAAAAAGCTTTTAAGTAAATATTAGAAAAAGTTTTTAAGTAGAAAGCTTTTATTAGAAAATTTTTTAAATAAAAAGCTTTTATTAGAAAAGTTTTTAAGTAAAAAGCCTTATTAGAAAAGTTTTTAAATAAAAAGTTTTTATTAGATTTTGGAGTTTTTGGAGTTTTTATAAACAAAGCCTTTAATAAAATTTCTTCAAGCTTTTAAAACAGAAGTGAAATGCGATGTCATAAGCTTTTATAAACAAGTTTTCTTTTATTTTATCAACTGTTCCTAAAGCTTT